TCTCTTTTTTTTTTTTAAACATGGAAAAATATTAATTCAAGTTTATCTCTGGATCTGACACTTTGGGTCAAGTCCTTTCTCAGGCACATATCTCTCATTAGTTCAGGGGTAGACAGCCAAGTCCCAAATGTGTCCTTTAGCAATTATTTCATTTCCATGTAAAGCAGAGGTGGTGCCAACTCAAAAAAAAGCCGTAACACAGAGAGAGGGGGAGACAAGAGGTATAATTTCTCATGAAGAGTAAGAATGATTTTTCTCCCGCAGTATCCACCCCTCCACAGACAGCAGTGCCATATACTCTAATAATAAATGATCAAGTGCTTTTGAGATATTTTACTGGCATATTGTAAACTGCCATCTCTGTACTGAGTGGTAACACGGAAACATCATTAATGTACCTGAGATTTTCTTGATGTCCCTAAGGGATTTAATTTAGGAGGAAACCCCAGATGAATAACCATGTTCACCTTTTCCATGTTGATCTCAATGGGACTACTCACAGGAAGAAAGTTGCTTCTTTGCATAAGTTTTGGCTGGATCAAATCCTGAAATGGTGAGGGCCAAATCATGTGCAGTGCTGAACACCCACAGGTCTTACTCACATCCTTTGGAAAGGCGGATGGTCAGAACCTCTGACAGCTTGACAGTCGTTCTTTGTTGTACTGTTGGTACAGGGAGATGAAAGAGACTTTGTGAATTAAAAAAAGTCTTCCTAAGGCAACGGATTGATGCATTGTGTATAGAGGTATAAGAACTCTGTGTGTTCAATCCCAGCTGAAACATGGGGTTAGCGGAGAGCTGTTGTATCTAATTCAGCAAACTAAGGAGGCGACAGATACAGTCTGCATCTTATTTAGGAAAGGGATCTAGGTAGGGGAGGAAGGAGACGGATAGCTAATTAACCCAAAAAGGAAATTCGTATGATTAAAACAACTTGGTGTTTATTCACTGCCACTAAAAGGATTGTCCTGTACTAATAAAGCATTGCCGTTGACTTTGAAAGTTAATGACTAGTAGCCCCTGAAGTCTCAGGGCATGACTGTTAGAAAAGGGCAGGGCCAAAATGTTCTGAAAAACTGGGAAATGTCTTGACCGCACATCCAAGGGACTGAACCTCTGGCATTTTTTGGCTGCTTGTTGTCTCTTTCAAATCTGACATTGACAATAGCTCAACTCCAGCCGTGGGAGTCCTTCAGTCACTACCATCTCCGTGCTTCTCTTTTGCTGGTCTTCCTCATGAATTGACCTCCAGTCACGGTCTCTGAGGCATTCACTTTTCCCACGTGCAAGACTGTCCTAATCCATGCCCACAAGCTGCATTTAAATGTTAATATACACTGCAGTGTGAGGGAACCATTGAGTCAAGTAACCCCCAAGCCAAGTAACCCCATGGTCTTCTGCCCAGAACCATCACTCCCCCATACACACACATTGTTGCTGAGTTGTTACCATCACCTTTAATGCAGGTGTCAGGATTCTGCAGCGGTCTACACAATTACAAGTTAATGACAGTGGATTGTAAACTCTTCATGACAGGGACCAAACTGTTTTCTTGCGTTTAGTAAAGGGTCTGACACACTTTGGAGTACGCATAATAAGTAATGGTGCGTGATATGTATGTAATCAACAGTGTCTCACGTGCCTATAATTATGTTTCAGGGTAATTAGAAGCATTACAGTCTTTGCTGTCTCAGATTTAATGAATTTTCCTGTTGCATAAATGACTACTGTTCTCCCCTAATAAATGCACCCCTACAGTTCTGTTCTTGTTTATTCCTTATGTACAGGTGGGCAAAATAAATCCCTATGCAGGAGACCAATATAAGGTCTTACAGTTTAAGCTCTATTTTACAAGAGATTTGGATGGTACATAGGACTGTGGTGACCCCTACCCTCTTGTGAATTCCTTCTATGTTCCCCAGCTTGTTCTTCAGTGTAGCAAGACAGATATCTTAGATGCACAGTGTGGCACTCACCAAATTCTAATGTAGAATGGGCTCTGCAAACCTGGGTTTGACTGATGGTGTACTTCAATGGAGACGGCATGTGTTAGGGGTCTGGTTAAGAAATAATAAATCTGATTCTAAATAGTGTAAATTGGTGTAGTCCCGTTGGCTTCCAAGGAGATATGTTAATTTTCACCAGCAGAAGAATTCTTCCCTCCACCCCCCTTCAAAGAATAGTTTGATACTGGCTTAGGCAGGGACCCAAACTTGTGCTCTATTTTCCATTTATTTTAACGAGTATCAGTAAGTGTATTAGAAGAAAACACAAAAGGAAGATTTTGTGTAATTTGGATGAGAGAGACTTTTACTGTAAATACCACTTTATCATTCAAACCACATGAAACTCTGACACACATAGAGAATAAATAAAGGCAGCAAAAGAGCTCTCAGTAGCAATTATCAAACAAATCAAGTGACAGCCTCCCCTATTAGCTGGAATCATTTGGGTTATTGTGTAAAAATGTAAAATGTGGCTTTGCATATTTAACATGTCTCCTCCGTTTTTGTTTTCCTATTTGCAGATCTATTATAAAGTTATTAAAGAAATTGAGCCAGGAGAAGAACTGTTGGTGTATATGAAGGAAGGGGCTTATTCGCTTGGGAACATGCCACCCAGTATGGAAGGTAAGATCATTATTGTTAGATAGCACCTTTCCGTACCTGGCACCAGGAGGAAACAAAAGAACATGCAGCAAGAAACTAAGTTGCATGGTTACCTGCCCTGTTATGTAACTGTTGATTGTTCTAAGATTTAATGCGTTTTATACTGTTCTGTATTGGCAAGATAAGCTGCCTTAGTCAGAGATGCCTAAGCAGATTTTTTAACCTCAAGGCTTGCACAGATGCATTAAATATTTTTTCAAGGAATGTTGTGGTTTTGAATACTATAGGGGATGGCTTATTAATTTCCGGGGTTGCCATGGCTGTTTGTGGGTAATAAAATCAAGGCGACACGTTCCAAGGCTTACAAAACACTCTGTGTTCTTTAGAGCGTCAGAGCACAGAGCAGCAGTGACAGTGCTATTTTAATGTGGATGGCTCGGCAGCATCAATTGGTGGGTCCACGGAACTGTTAGAACAGCAGTTCTCAATGGGTGTGACAAGATCCTTTTAAGCGTGCCATAGATGTTAGCGCTGTTAGGTGTGCAGCCATGATTCACAACATAAACCCAGAGATTTCAAATAGGAATCCATCATATTAAAACATTCTGACCCGTTGTGGTCTTCCTGAGGTCTTTGCAACAAAAGAATTGCTCTATTATGGTTTGTAGTTAAGACAAGAGTGTAAATTTGGAGCATGTATTTTCTGAGGGGTGTCTTGAATCTAATGAGAGGTGTCTTGAGTCTGAAAAGTTTGATAACCACTTTATTAGAGCGGCAGGCTGTATTAAAATAAACTCTTCATTGCTCCACTGTCTCGCTTGGCAAGCAGATTGAGCTGGCTAGTCATGGTGCCGGGCATAAATGGACTCCCTGAGTAAGCAAATGGCTTAGAGGAACATTGTGCGTTGAGCAGCCAGAGAGATTAAGTTCTTATATTTTAAAAGGCATCTTCCCCTGAATATATTGATATTGCTTCTTAAAGTTCAGTCATTGCTCAGGACATCAAAGGGGCCATTGCATTTTTGGGGAGGCACGAGTGTTTTACAGTAGTTAGAGCAAGAACCTGTGGTCTCTTGTGTTCTCTTTTTGACCACCACCCACTTGCTATGTTTAGTTAAAGAAGACATGAAAATTGGGGGAAAGCACTGGTGTTTTTCCCCCCTTTTATCGTGTTTGAAGACGGGTGGAAAAGATTTTTTTTCCAAATTAAAAGTGAAGAGTAAGAGGAGTTTCTGCTTGTATTTCTACTCTGACAACAACTAGGGGAAGGGAATTTTATTCAGGCTATTGAAAACTTTGGGCTTAATTTTAAACTGACTAAAAGCAGCTGGCTTTAGCAAGAAACTCCAGGATTCTTACAGCAAAGATTACAGAAAGAAAACCCAAGAGTTTTCAAAGAAACCCCAGCCTCCTTGCTTTAAGAAGAAAAAAATTTGCCTATAGGCAGGGGGCTATTTAGCAGAATTCAGGAAGGTTTTTGCAGCTTCTGCCAAAGTCATTGATGCTGCACAGTGTTAGGAACAGGCTACCAAGCTGGCTGGGCCTGTCATCTGACCCTGTCTGGCAATATTTGCATTCCTATGTTTTACCTGTTTACTAACGTTTAACACAGTGGTTAATGCAAATGCCCTGAGGCATTCAGGGGATCTCTGCCAAAGTAGGGAAGATCAGACATCCTATTCTTGGTACAGCTAAAATAAAAAAGCTAAGCAGAGAAAACAAGAGTCTGAAAAGTAACCAGGCAAGGTTTCTTTATTCTTTGGAAAGAAATTAAGAAGGGCACAAACCCATATTTTTAAAAATCTTTGAAAAAACTAAAACGGAAACAGAACTTATCTGTGTTTGTTTAAAGCTAAGCTCATGAAAACGCCTTGGTAAAACTAGATACACAAGGTATGATGTATTTTTTAGTTTTCCTGTAATTTAGTAATGACAGCAGTGGAGGGTTAGTTTTAAAAGTGGGTGAATTATCTAAAGTAAATGAATTATTATTTAAATGTAGTCTTTTTCTGGTCAGCCACTGACTGTGAAAACAGCTCATTATTAATGTAAATATGCCCATTATTTTATGACTAATTTATAAATATATTTCTGCCTATAGGCTGCTCATGAACTAATTGTATATTGTTTGGCATAATCAGCATTTGAAATTTGAGCTATTATGTTGGACCTTCTGTTCACATGCTTCCCTTACTGGTAGAAAAATGTAACTTGGATTCAGATTGCCATGGCAAACACTTAGGAAGATGAATGTGTAAAATCTGCTTTTTGCAATATTTGTTTGCAATTTGTTGTTTCAGTGAACTGTTTCTGCCAAAACACTCCTTTGCTTAAGGTACTCCTTGAAAAGTGGATGAGAAGGGAGTGAAAACACAGATGATGAAAATTAAAACATTCAGTTGATTTTTTTTTTCAAGTATTTTTTCATTGTTGAGTTAAATGCATGTGATTTCCTTAAAAGCAAGCCACAGATATAAGATATTTCTGGTGGTACTTCCCCAATTATGGTGTAAAAACTGAATATCTCTTTGATAATTTAGAAAAGAAATAGAGAAAAAAATCAGCAAGGCTTTCTGGTTTAATGCTGCATGATCTGTTTTGCTTCAGAGATTTCATATTTGCTTTTAAGTGACTCTTACTTGAACAAGCAAAAAACACCTTGTTCCCTGTAATATGCCAGCTTTGTTGTTATATAACATTTTTCTGCATCTTCCTAATAATGTATCATGCTTTTGGTAGCTAATTGCTTTTAAATTATAATAGCCCAACATTGAATATTTGACTTCTTAATACTTCTACCTTTGAGAATGCTATCTTCCCCCCACCCTCCATTTAAATTCTGAATTGCAGAAGAAAGAAAATGCAAAAATGTTCCACACAAAGATAATTATCATAAAAATCTTTTATCCAAACCCCAGCCAAATGCAGTAGACCCCTTATCACTGCAGGAATTTTGAGTAGGGCTCTTGAACTCCTTTGAGACCTGAGTCTGGTAGATTAGCATGTAGATGCCACATAATTGTGTTCCCCTTGGTTTCTCTGAAAGCTATTAGGCACTGATTTATTTTTCTGTTACATTCCTGCTTTGTCCTGAGTGTTACTGATGGAACTTAAGATAGACGCATATAACCACAGATTTGACAAACAAGACATAGAGAACTGGCAGCAATTTTTTTGTTGTTGGATTTTTCTTTTCTTTTCTTTTCTTTCCCCCCCTACGACACAGAAGCAGTAAACTGTTTTCATAGGGCAGCATTTTTATTTATTGTGTTTAAAGAAATAAAAAAACCCTTTTATGTACCTGCTATAAATTGGAGACTTTGTGGCAAAGGCAGAGATCCAGATACCAGGAGATCTCAGTTCAGTACTAAGCTTCCTTTGTGACATGGGATCCACTCCTACAAGGTGTTGCTCTAGCCTTTAATCTATGTGTGTCATGGTTTCTTTTTCTGCAACAATGCACAAGGTATTTATTGTAAGGCTAAACTCACTGATAATTGTAAAATATTTGTTTTCATGAAAATGCAGAGTTCAGAATACAAGAAGTATATTTATTATGTATCAGTTTAGGATCTTTCTTTATTCTGCTTGCCAGTCAATTTCTTCTCTTCAGAAGTGTTTACCAGGGCTTATTTCTAGCTTTTCAAAGAATTTGCACACACATGCACACCCATTCAGCCACGGTAAATGTGCATATAGATAGAGGTATTGATAGACAGACAGACAGGCAGACGTGCACACGCACACTTTGTAAAATCTCTCTATATAGATTTATATTGAATATATACACACACACAAAGAAAAATTGGAAAACATGAAGACATTTTAGGGTATGTTTCTACCACAGTTTAGTCATCTTTTTTATCTATCCTCTACGTTTTCTTTACCAAATATTCTGTGTGAAGAAAATCCATTTCCCCTCATATTGTCAATTCTTTATGCACATGAAAAAGCTGGTTGTGCTTAATAGTGGAAGAAGACCATCACTGCCAGTGGTACATGAGACTGCACAGAACAAGTCTATTTTTTTAATACAACTGAAGCATGATGAGCTTTATCTTAAAAATATTTGCCTAAAAAAGACAGAAAGCTAGAGGTGTTTAAACTGAGCAGGGTAATAAAGACACACAGGATGCATCTACACGAGATATTACTGCACATTCATTATTGCACATTTATTTAGTACTTGTATTAGTACTCAGTGACTGGAGTTACTGCACAGTAGTGCTGGCAAACAACTTTTAGGTGATCCCATGGCTTAGTAGCCTAATAAGACTGTGCAGTAGCGTATTAGCACTGTCCATGCTGTGACACGCTACTGAGAAGTAGTTTTTGGCTACTGTGAAGTCAGCATCTTGTGTAGACATGGCCACACAGTTTGACTTCTTCCAGAGTTACTTAGCAGAATCCTTCTTCACTCCAATTTTCAGGTGGTATCAGTGAATTTTAACCAGTTGGGGATCTGAAACCTTTAAGGGATCAGATTTCTTGTGCACAACTTGTGACCTCCATAGTTCCTCTCAAGGTGCAGGATGAGGCAGGTGAGGGCAAAATCCGACTCGAGGCAGGCACTGTGTCATGTGTTGTAACACAGTAGGTGAGCCTATGTGTTTCCAATCTGCAGTTAACTCTGTGAGATAACATTCGCTTTTGAGAACAGGAACCCCCAGGTTCCTGTTTAATCAGCCTATCTCCACGGCTAGAAACTGGCTCAAGGTAAAATAAGACCAAACCCAAGCCATCCCGTAAGTCTTGTACAGGAACAGGAAGAATTTCTGAAGTTTGAGGAAGTTCTTTGTTAAATGTTCTCTGAGGCAAAAAATATCCTCCCCCCTCCAAGTTTTCTATTTTGGGGTGAAAGCCAAAGTATTACAGTGTAGCTGCGCTGGGCAGATTTTTGTCCTGCATGCAATTAGGATGCACTGGAAATTTCTTAGGAGATCAATCTTGGGATTCTCAAACCTGAGGAGTTGGGAGAGGTTGGGAGCGGTTCAGACATCATTAAGTCTTCTTAGAAGAAAAATAAAGGAGACAAATGGTAGATGAGCAGAATGTTTTACTGAGAGATGATCTCATTACCAGAGCAGTTCAAAACCATCCCACCCAGTTATCATGCAGATCAGTGAAGTAAATGAGCCAACTGGTTCCAGCTCATCTGTGATTCTGTGATACCCAAAGCTGGAGAAAAATGGAGGCACCATAAATACTGCAAGCACTGCTGGCACTTTGCTCTACAGATCTAGCTTTAATGAATGTATGATAGGTGGCCCATGAAGCCCTGTTATAGATGGTACCAAGATGAGTGCAATGCCAGGAGTGCAGACAAGTCCTATGAGGGTTTTGGTGGGTTTTAGTGTTCCCTCAGCACCCATGCTTTGGAAAAGGTAATGCTACTCCTCCTGCCTAACTCAGCTCTATCTCAAAAGAGGTATAATTTTAATCCAGAAATGTCCTCTGATGAAGTCTTAAGTTTGGCCAGCTAGCATCTTATTTCCCATCCTGCTGTGAGGTCACATGAAATGTGAAAATGTGACATAATAACATAACCGTTTGCGACTTTTTTTTTTTAATAAGAAGCAATTGCTGGATGACAGGACAAAAACAAGTACCACAGCTGATGCAGTTTTGTCAACCACCAAGTAAATGTAGGGAGCTTCTTGGGTCTCCATTTTCATCTTTCCCTTCCCAGAACCAAATTGGCACAGGTCTCACAAGCTCTAATAAACCCGTTTTATATCCATAAAAACTTTTAAAAGGGGCTCAGTCCAGACCCCTGGAAGGAAAGGGGCCTTTGACTCTTCTGTGTCTCCCAGATTCTGTTATGTGTCTAAGCCAACTGAAAATAGGGGCAAAATTGGGAAATTTTCATTATTTCCCTTGCACTTTTTCAGCTCAAATCCAAATATGATCAAAAAAATTCTGAGAAAAACTTTAGTTTTTGGAAAACCGTGTCCTTGTTTCTCCCCTCACCCTCTTGTTATCCTTTCTTCTCTTCTTTTCTCACTTTCAATAAATAATTTTATATTTCCCTGTTTTATTTCTCTCTTTTCTAAAATGCGAGTAATATCATTGCCCTCACCTCACAGGAGCACTGTAAGTATTAATAGACTCCTTAACAGTATAGATATTACTTTAAATGCAAGTGCAATGAATAGAGATAATGTTCTACAGTCTAGTTCATATGGCACTGGGCTATATTGAAAGGGAGGAAGAGATTTAGCGTGTGGGTCTCAGACAAGGAAGCTATACAAGATCAGTGGAGAGGATACTGGCTGGGCTTCTCGAATCCTAGAAAAGTAGGGCTGGAAGGGACCCCAGGAGGAGGTCATCTTTTCTAACCCTCTGCTTAAGGCAAGATCACTGCCTTGACTCTGGAGGAGCTACTTCTGACTTATACTAAAGACACTTCATAAAACAAAGATTTAGGCAATTGTGATATTTTGTGCAAAAGCTGGTGCCAATAATCATCTGCGGCACTTTTTAGCAAGAAAATCTCTTAAAATGTTTTACGCATCCTAGAAATACCAGTTCCGTATAGGCAGACAAGGGATTGAAATGCCTTCTGTCTTTTAACCTATCATCTCCTTTCTTGTACCACAGACTACCCATGATGCTGTTCATTAAATTAAGTCTGAGCAAACATCCCTTAAAAATAATATTTTCCTTCTGTCTCCTAAGGTAATGAATTTCTCTGCAGGCTTTACACTTGCAGCAATGTTTTCAGAGTGTGAGAAAGGGACTTTAGGCCTGCTACCGATGCAACATTTTACATGATTGGAAATTAGTCTATACCTGTAATGCAACAAAAGTTCGGCACATGTAGACTGGTTTAAAAATGGCAGAACCCAGTCTAAGATTGGCGCCCTTCCCCACCTCACCCCAACAAAAGGTTGCTTACAGAAAACCACATAACTTTAATCGAGTCCACCTCAGGCCTTTTGAATGTCTGCACCTAGCCTTAATTGCAGAAAAGCATGTTCAGAAACGTGGGGGGTGAGGAGAAGAGGGAACACAGCAGAAAGCAACTACATGAAAAGCTTCTGTTTCAAGTAGACTGCTGGGTGGAGAAACCCTGGACTGTCCCAACTCCCTCACAGAAGTCATTCTCCTGGAAAATTTACAGCTCTGAGCTGATTGTTTGACTTGGCACTATGGTCAGGATGCTGCCTTGTAAACTTAATAATAGCTGCCCTCTTTTTAATTTGTTTGACCTTGACTACAATAATTTATTATATGCATTAGATCTTTTTTTTTTCTTTTCAACAAAGAATTTGGCCTCTTTTTCTTTGCTGCACAGTGCTCTGTCTTCGAACTCCCCCTACTTTGTGAAGCCCTCTGGCTGCTGCATAACAAACACTGGGGAGAGGGGAGGAGGGAAGGCCTTGGAAAGTGCAGTTCTCCAGGGTTGAGCTCTTCCTAGCATAAATACGTGATTATCTTTTACAGGCTTTTGGGGAGGCAATAATCATTCTGGCTTGTGCAGCTGGGGGAAGGTGGTATTTTGTTTTGTTTTGTTTTTTTCTTGACAGCTTCACAGGAAGAAACAGCCATTTAAAAACACGGTGACGGACAGATAGACAAGCAAGCAAACAGACAACCCCCCTGCCCCCGCAGAATCTCCAATACGGTGTAAATCCACTAAGTCCTGCTGGTCTCAGCTCAAAGCCTTAACAAGGCTCAGGAGCAAAAGTGGACAGTAGAGTTCAAGCCGCTGCTTACTCAGGGCTCCTTTCAGAGTTTGGCTGCTTCAAGGCTGCGGTCTCTCCACATTGCCCGAGCTGATGCGAATGGTTCACATTCAGCCAGTTGCAGTTGATGTTAGCTGCACCAGCTTACTTTGAAGAGAAGGATTTTGTACCTGTGGCTTGTAAACATACTTTTTGCAGTGATCTTCATTGACTTGCATTTTGTGAGCCAGAGGACTGCTGGATCGAACGACCTGGCGTTATGGGAACTTGCTAACCCCAAAGCTGAACTGCTTTGTCCATCTCTTTCAGAGGAGCACACATTTCGCTGCGAAGACTGTGATGAACTCTTCCAGTCAAAGCTGGACCTGAGGCGGCACAAGAAATATGCCTGCAACTCTGTCAGCTCTCTGTATGAGACCCTGAACGAGGAGATAAAACAGGAAGGCCTCAGCGATGGGCAGGTCTATGAGTGCAAAGACTGTGAGAGAATGTTCCCCAATAAATACAGGTATCACACGCACAGCAGGCACTTGCCTTGCTAGCTATACATTGAAAGCTTAAAACAAATGATCTTAATATGAAATCTAACTGTTCAAAATGTATTTGTCAAGTGGGAACTGAATGGCTCGAGCTTGGGACTGGGATATGGGACTTTTCAACTGCAGTCGCCATGTTGAATGTGGCTCAGGCCAGTAGTTTTTAGAAAATCACTCCCAGTCAATAGCTGTTTGTCACATGAGGTTATGATCTCAGTGCATTTCAACCATCCACTGCCATGTTACCATAACTGTTTTCACACCACTGCAGGAAATCCTCCATCACAATTTGCCCTAATTGTTAGCAGAATGGCCAAGGCTTGAATACACGGTGACGCAATTCTGGCTTACCCTTTCCAGGTCAACAATGAGGCATATGGCCAGGGCCAGTAACATTACAGTGCCAGCCTAACATAAAGATCAGTTTTTTAAAGAAAAGATTGCAATCAGGGCCTGATCTTATACCATTGGATAGAGAGGAAGGTGGGAACATTGCTGTATTAAAAAAACCACCAAATACTGCAGGCCTCATGATAACATTGTTTGAACTGTCAACACTTTAAACAAGCATAGCAGAACTACAAGCTTAAGGCCAATGGTCCAAACTACAAGATTTTGGTAAAGTTGACCACTGAGTGCTGGCCAGTGGTAATCATGTTGAATGTAATTATAACATTTTGTTGCAGATGAGTAGATAGGAAATAGGAAAAGTGTTCTTACATTCCCATGGAATACACAAAAGAATCTGAAATTAGAGTACAAATTTGTCCAAGACAATCCACTAATGTATCTTCCCTAAAATATATCTGAATACTGAGCACCTTGCAGGAGTTTTACAAGGCTAGGATGGGTAACTTCATCTAGCAGTTTGATGGTATCTGTATTTTCAGGCAGTTCTCCCTGATTCTTCCTCACCTTTTGTTTTCCAGCTTGAATTATTCTTTTTCACTCTCTATAAGTTTGCTGTTTCTTTGATTTTCTCCAACTCTGCTGGGAAAATAACACATCCATGTGATTTAAAATTTTTTTTCCAGGAAGTGGAATTCTATCTGAAAAATCTTTTCAGTGATAACGGGAGTAATTTATTTTCAGTCTCCATCTTCCTTCTTTCTTTATACTGTCCCTCTACAATCTCCCTCCCTGAGTACTGACATATTTCCCTCTTGGCAGTGCATCAATGCTTCCTGAATCCCTTTATTTCCATTGTATGCAAGTAGTATTTCTGTTGTACAGAGTAGGAGCAAGGCACAAAGACTGTCATACCCTTACTTCTGCTAGTAATTGCTCACTAAGGTGAGTAAGGGGTTAGTCTCTTGCCCAAGCTCAAACAGAGATGCTCTGAGCAAAGACAGGAACAGAAAGCTGATCTCCTGAACCCGTCTAGTGCCTGGTTCCCAGCACCACCTTCATACTAGGAAAGGTTCCTCAGAGTCTTTGCTATAAACTGTTCCTTCTTAAAACTCATAATTAAGAAAAAAGTGGGCATATGCCCACTGAGCTATCCGACTGAAGGGTTACCTTAATAACCAGATAGTCATGAGCCATGCTTTTCAAATAGGACCAGTGACTTAGGTCTCTTCTGTATTTGGGTTTGACTTGAAGACATAATGAAAAAGCCAGATTCTCAGAATGATCTCAGCCTTTTTTTATGCACAGCATTGAGCTTTCCAAAGCCAGTAGTCACTTCTGAAAGTTGAGGCCTGAATGCCCGGGGTATTCCTGGAAGTCTAACAATGTCTCAGGTCTCTGAATTTTACTATAGACTAAGCCATCCATATATCTTGTTGCAAAAGCAAAACAAAAAAAAGTCAGCTCTTGGCTGGCATTATGCGGAGGCAGAGAACATGCTGCGCCCTAGCCCGTGCATACATTAAATTTAGTGGAACTTTCAGAGGAAATTACCAATTCCTGTTTCGTCCCCCTATAAATCTGGCTATTCCACTTTATGAACTGAGAAGCCCTCTTAAGACAGCAAATAAATCCAGTCAACATATCTAGATGGTCTCATAATTTCTTGAAAGTTAGTTCAGCTCAAATCAAGAATATCACCAGGGAACTGAAACTCAGCACTTAGCAGATGACTAAATAAAAAAATGTTTGTGCTAATCCCAGTAGGTTATTTTCCTGTAAACATTATAATAAGTCACCTGCATTTGTGCTGTATAAACCCATAAATCACAATTAACTGCCAGAAAAAAAATCTATCTTAATGGCATTACGAACAGAGTTTCTTTTATCAAAATGGATGATTATTCTTCATAATTAACAGCCAGCCAATTTATTACTGTCCACTTCACAAGGATTAACCATTATAACTTTGAAAGAAGAGGATCATCCAGAGACTAGTGGGATCTTAAACTCCTCTGGTTAACAATAAATGACTTGGCTTTGGAGCAGAAGAATATCTGTCCAAGTACTCAAAGGGTGCCAAAATCTCAGCATGCACAATTGCCATAATTTGTGAACCAGCAAAATCCCTTAGCTTCATAAATATTTGAGTTCAGGTCAATGAACATATGGGCTGGGAATTTCAAGAGTCTAAGTGAAGGAGATCCTCAGTCCTAGGGTGCCTACTGCCTAACTCTCCTTGGCCCTTCAAAATCCTCAGCCTAAGCGCCTTGTCCTGTGCGGTCAGGCTATGGAAAAGTCCACTTGTATTTAAGGGAGTTGGATTAAATTGAACTGTAGGGTTTAGCTTTGTTATGTTTTTTAAACTGTCCTTTAGGAAATATACCCCTGTGTTAAAATTGTAAAGGGATGACTTAATAACATTTACACAGAAGATTTCAGTTTCTGTTAAACTTCACAAGTTTTTAATGATCCTATGGACTTTATCAATAAGGTTGAATATTTACAATTCCCACTGAACTGCAACAGGATTGCAGATTTTCTTCCTTTCTCAGGATCAGGCTACTTGAGGTACACTTTTTCAAGCTCCTTGTGTACCTGGATTGCTAACAGGGCAAAGCCCCTTATGCTCATCTTCAACCTAGGAATTTCCTCCTTTCCCTACCAGTTCCTACCTCTGCCAGTAGCTCCTCTATACAAGTGCACCTGGGTTAGTGGCCAGCAGAACTGGCATGTGCTAGCGCACACACTGAAGTTCAAAAGGCAGAGACAGCACTTTGGCTTAGAGGAAATGCAGCAACCTATAGCACTGTCTGAAAAGCCATCTCGGCTATGGCACTGCTCCAGCAGCCACTTTGGTTTGCCATCATCCTCCTGGCTTCAGAGACGCTGCCAGTTGGCAGAAGTTGAAATCGCCGAGTTAAGTAGTAAAAGATGTCTGACATTTAAAAGTGAAATGTGTTTGCACCTTATCATATTTCTTTCAAATGTGAAGTTACTGTGTTCTGGGAAGTTGTGGGCTTTGTGCCCATGAAAACGGCAACCTGATCACTTCAGCAGTAACACAGCTAATATCTTGTCTTTCCCTGCGGGGATTCGGCAGGAATCTTTGTCACAAAGTGCTAGCTTTTCCCTTTTGAAACCTGCAGGCTTGGGTCAGTTGTGACTTCTTTTTTGCTTTAAGGGGAGCCAGTTTTGCAGTAAGAAAATTCATGAAACACAGCAAATTTTGGAGAGGCCCATTCTCAAATGTGAAATGAAATGCCAAAAAAAAAGATTAAAAAAAAAAAGGACTCAAATTTCCATATAGTTGCACCCTTCATTGTTAATTTGTCGCTCATTTCATTTTAAAAGGTTTTTGAAGTCATGTTATGTGACAAGCACCATGTCGACTAGTTAGTATTGAAGAAAAAAAAACCCCAGTGGTTCTCGGCCTCTTTCTCTGTCATCATCTTTAATCACCACTCTCTATCTCGAACCTCGTTGGTACTGTGACCCTAACGGACATGATTATTGTAACTGTAAATCCACTGAAAGAAAGTGCTTGGTTCAGCCTTGTCTGTAAATTAAAACCAGTTGAAGCCTGCACCGTTAAGCGCCATTTTCTAGCTGTCTGAATTGCCTGCCTTTCCTTACCCTGTGAGGTAAGCATGTCTTTTCTTTCTCAGCTTGGAGCAGCACATGGTAATCCACACGGAGGAGAGGGAGTACAAGTGTGACCAGTGTCCAAAGGCTTTCAACTGGAAATCAAACCTGATTCGTCACCAGATGTCACATGACAGTGGCAAACGCTTTGAATGTGAAAATTGTGTGAAGGTACGGCAATACATTGTGGGGGAGCAGCATCTCCTGGGGAAGGTGAGCTGGAAGTGCAATTCAGCACACTAGAGCAATCAGCACCATTTCAGTGTTTAATGGTGGTAAGCCATCATTTAGGCTTAGGAAGCAGAAGGAAAGGGGAGCAGACAGCCCTCCTTGTTCGGTGAGCCTGAGTGGGGAAGTCAGGAGGCCCAAAAAGCACCTTTCTACTGGCTTTTCCCCAGGCACTGGATAGATCCTGCTATTCAGAAGGAAAGCATACGGATCAAAGGGGATAGCCACCGATGTCAGCGAGCATGCCTGCAGCCTGCCGCGAGAGGCGTCAGTGCTACCTGGCCTCCGTGTCTGTGTGCAGGGTGAAGTGAAAGCCCTGCGCAGTTGCACTCCCAGTCAGCTCTTCCGAGAACAGCGATGCTAAATAACAAAAATAGCCAGCCTTCCCTCCCCCCACCTTCTCCCGCCCTTGCTCTCAGCCACACACACCTTTGTTCCCCTCCCCTAAAGGCATTTTCTCTTTCAGGTGTTTACCGACCCCAGCAATCTCCAGCGGCACATCCGTTCCCAGCATGTTGGCGCACGAGCTCACGCCTGCCCGGACTGCGGCAAAACCTTTGCCACTTCATCTGGCCTCAAACAACACAAGCACATTCACAGTACTGTCAAACCTTTCATATGTAAGTTGTCACGGGCATCACAGAGCCCCAGCTTTCACTATAATTGCACATATCCTGAGGGGCCCCCCAGCACTGGCTGTCCCTCTGTGAGCAGCCGCTGTAATTTTATAGGTCAGAGCACAAGATGAAATTCCGCAGCAATTTTTTCCCCCCTTTTTTCTCTTTTTTTGCATGCTCCCTGTTTTTTCAGTAAACATTCGTGGCAGTTTTTGACTTCCTTGACAAGTTAAAAGCTGAGTCTCTCAGCAGTCCCAGCGATGCCATTTTCTCATATCTTTTCTTTCTCTCTTCTTTTTGGTTTTTTTTTTTTATTATTTTTCACTGTGCCTGTTGGTGACATAAATAAATAGCTGACACAGTCTGAGAGAAATGTGTTTCTGAGGTGCCTCAAATCATTCAACCTTTATGAAGAATTTGGGAAAGTGGCAGAGACTCAAAGGAAGGGTTGGTTTAGTTTTTTTTTTAACAAAAAAAGCCAATTTTTTTTCTGTTTACAAAGGCTTTAGTCTAGACAATACTCTACAGGCATTTAAATGGCACATTAGCCATATTGTTTGTGCTTTTCATTTCCAAATGTGACATTTACCTTAGGAAAGCCTAAGAGTCACTATCAGGACTGGGCTTTTATCCCATCTATATAGTGTCTTTTGCACCTTGGTAGCTGCAGAAAGATATATTTGCACTTTGCCGTCAACATGCAAAGAGGAGCCTTATAGGCTGCTGCTTGGCCCCTTACCAAAGGGATGCTCTTACGTTTAAAGCGCAGTGCCAGATATATATTCAGCTTCTAGTGATGATGTTTCATGAGGCAACCTGCCGAGCCCACCGCTGCTTCCCTGCTTCCTACCAACATGGGAACAGAATACAAGTACAGTATAGGGTGTGAGCCTCAGTTTTGATGTGCTCTGAGATAATCAGTGTCAGTGAGGAAATGCAAGACACTCCCACTGCTCCCTTTGGTGTAATCCTTACCCCTCACACTCTTATGCCTGGCACCTGAGAGACGGAGAGAATTGGAGTCTCAATTTTTTGTTAGCCCTGAAACAAGACACTGTTTCACATCGGCTTCATGCTCTCTCCCCCATCTAATTATGGAGCTTACGTCTTCTCCGCAGTCCAAATCAGCGTTGAAAAGAATTTGAGAGTGACTCTGCCTGGTTCACAAGTGTCAGGGTGGAGTCGATATGGAATCTGTTAACAGTGGGATAAAACATACAAAATGTTTATGGGGCTCTGTGGGACCTGCTGGCTTTGCTTAGGGAAACGTAAGACCACAGTCCCAGGGAATGCTTTCTTATTCTTTAATGGGAATGGTTGCAGTATTGTACTTGAGATAATGAAGCAAATTGGCTTTAATGTTTTTATAATCATAGAATGCAGAACAGCGACAGGCGAGAGTCTACATGGAGTTCCTGAGTCACTGCTTTTCAAAAAGTCTTGGGTTTTGTTTGTTCTTTGGTTTGTTTTTAAGCCGCGGTTTACAATAATGAAATAATATCCAGTATCTTTAACAGAACAGTGATGTCTGTATTATATAAATATCAAGATGATCCAAGAACTCTTTAGGGGATAGAGATGTGTGTGTGTGTGTGTGTGTATTTTATATATACTATCTTTTTTCCTTTGGAAAAACTCGTTTTTAATATTACCCTTCAACTTTCCATAAGTTTTTGTTGCATGAGATGATTATATATTGCTTACTCATTTGTGTTATACGTACTCACCATAAGAAAAGTGGTGCTTATCCCACAAACCCAATGTTCAGCCAACACATGTTGACAAAAATTACATTCTGTTCTGATACAATTTGCTAAAGTAGATTAACTGTTTATAATAACCTCATCTGTATCTTCCAAACCACAGTATAACATCTTTTGGCACTTGCTAAAGGAGACATAGTTAAAATTAGAAAGGGGTAATTTTCTGCTGGAAAGAAAAATATACAAACATCTTTTAAATAAATCCAAAAATGTGACATTTCTCCAAAAATTATTAGTAATTTGAGAGGGAGTTATAAATTCACACACATGGAAACACTTGTGCTCACACAGGCCAATCTACGTGCTCTATTGAATACCCGCATACACTCTCACAGCCCTACTGATACTGTTGCTCCCTTGCAGTCTGTTGTGCCCTACTCGTGCTAGAGAACTGGAGTCAAACATCTAACCTAAAGCCCAAAGCCCTGAATTTGAGAGCTAAGTCAAGGTGCTCTATCCTTACCTTGGCTGAGCTATAACAACACTCAAAGAAGGGCAAGTACCTCACTGTTTTGAGATTGCCCTTTTGCAACCCCTCTTTTCTGGTCAGTAGGAAATACAGAGGTACAGCAGCAGCTGCTGGGACATAGGGCTGGTTCCTGTGATTTCTGTGTTTTGCAGACCATGGCAGACCCATCTCCTCAAACTCCCATATAAATAGAGGTTGGAGTTTCCAGCAAACCCTTCTCTCTATTTAAAACAGTTTGAGATTCATTTCCTTTTTTGCCTTTGTAAAATAACAGGAAAAAAACCAAACCAACAAGGAAATAGATGAAAATAAAGCAAAGCAAAAAACACCCAGGAAGCCCTGAAAGCATGTGTATATAGCTCAAAAGAACAAGCAAAAGCTTCAGATATGAATTACGGATGGATGGAGCAAATTTGGACAAAATAGTTATCAGCTGACCTTGAACTCTCTTTTGATCTTTAAGACCATTTGGCGACCATGTTTTCCATCAGGTCTGTGCTGCAGATGCAGGTTTCAGCCATGCCCAGGGCCAGAAGCAGAAATGCTGTAACAGCATGAGGAAAGACAGTTCTTGGGACATTCTCAGAAAGGTCCAAATCCAGAAACAGCAATACATGAGAGAGAGTCTCTCTTTGTGTGAGCATAAGATTCTTCTGAATTTTCAGGTGTTCACCTGTACTAGAAATGCCCATGTTGCTAAATATTGCTGAGCATTACTGGAAATTTCAACTCAACAGGCTGCTGCTTGTGATTTCCAGGACTGCTTAGGCAGGAATACTTTATGAACTGCCCCCTTTGGCATCTTCTGATACTCACACCGATGTAAACCTGAGAGATAACACATGGCAGCAAATGTTTAACATTTGGGTACCAGTGTCACCCAGACAGAAAAAAAAGCGTTGTCTGTTGTTTTGCCACAGGACCAAGTACAGGGCCAGGCATGGTTCCTTGCTTAGCCACAAACATGCTGTAAAATTTCAGTCAGTTCTCCTAACCTTGATGTGCCTCAGTTTCCCTATTTATAACGCCCTTGAGAGGAAGTATGAAAAATTACCCCTGGGCTTCAGAGAGATGTTTGATGATAAAAAGAAAAAGGAGGGGTGGGGGATTAAACTTTTCTGACATCTGACAAGGTTTGGATTTGGTTTGATTCTAATTTCCTCACAACCGCCTTGCCTGGCCCTTCCCTACCTGCTGAGTCCTGTGGGAAAGGTTATAGCAAGTGACATGCTGAAATCCTGGCATTAGAAGTCATTAAGGGAAAGGCTGACTGAGCATTAACTCTAGCAGTGCTAGGGAGTCCTTATTAATTTAACAAACATGAGATCTCACCTCATTCCTAGCTGAAGTTGAGCCCTGGGTTTGAAGAATATTTTTAGAACATCCCTATGGAGCGGTTACTTACTATTAATGGCATTAAAAAAATGGTGGATTTGATTAAATGAGGCAAAGTTCTTCTCCCTTCAGCCTTGAATACTTCCTGCCATGCCAGACTACAAGGAAAGCATACTAGCTAATATAAATAGATAGTATGATTAAAGTGCATGATGATCTTTATTTAAAATTTAAAAAAAATAGAAAAATCTCTGAGCTGGAAGAGCATGTTACATCAGATTTCTGGAAATTTGCAGGGGGAAAGCTGCATGTGGAGAGATTTGCTGCCACCAGGGCTTTTTCACTGATTTGCTCTTTATTATTTTGCTGTAAGGTAGCCGCTGCCCATCCCAGTGAAGAGCAGGGCTCCGTGGTGGGTGTTGGGTGCTATACAAACATAATCAGAGCTAGAACTTGCCCCTAAGAGCTCACAAAGCAACTATGCTATTTTGAAAGTAAGGAAGCGAAGGGCAGAGATAGGAGGCAATTGGCCTAAAGAGGTTTAGGGAGTCTGTGGCAGAACCAGGGAACTGAAGCCAAGTCACTAGAGCTCCCCATCCAGTGCCAGAACCACAAACCCACGTCTGTTTTAACTGTGTGGGGAAAAGAGGAACTTGGAGGTCAGAGGGAGGGCAGGATGGAGAAAACTGCCAAGGAAGCATGTGGAGAGCTGGGTAGGCGAAGCTATTGCATAGTAATTTCATATTGTTTTTGTTTTTGGTTTCTGTTGATGCTTTAGGTGAGGTCTGTCACAAATCCTACACACAGTTCTCCAACCTGTGCCGCCACAAACGGATGCATGCAGACTGTCGCACTCAGATCAAATGCAAGGACTGTGGGCAGATGTTCAGCACTACCTCCTCTCTCAACAAGCACCGGCGCTTCTGCGAGGGCAAGAACCATTACAACCCTGGGGGGATTTTTGCCCCTGGCCTCCCTTTAACTCCAACCTCCATGATGGACAAATCCAAACCCTCACCCAACCTCAACCATGCCAGCCTGGGATTTAACGATTACTTTCCATCCCGACCGCACCCAGCAGGTCTTCCATTTTCACCTGCTCCCCCAGCATTTCCCACCCTCACTCCAGGATTCCCAGGGATTTTTCCACCGTCTCTGTACCCTCGGCCTCCCTTACTGCCTCCCACCTCGCTGCTCAAGAGTCCACTGAACCACACTCAAGACGCAAAACTTCCAAGCCCCTTGGGGAACCCAGCCCTGCCTCTGATTTCTGCAGTGAGCAACAGCAGCCAGCCTGTCTCAGGAGAGGAGAAATGTGAAAGCAACCTAGAAAATTCCTACCTTGACAAGCTGAAAGCCAGGAACAGTGACATGTCAGATGGCAGCGACTTTGAGGATGTCAACACCACCACAGGCACAGATCTGGAGACCACGACTGGTACTGGGTCTGACCTGGACAGCGATGCAGAGAGCGACAGGGAAAAAGTGAAGGACAAAAGCAAACAGACTGAGAGCAAGCCAGACTTTGTCGGCAGTTCTGTGTCCACAAGTTCTGTCAGCAATGCGAGTGAGATCCCCCTTTTCTATTCTCAGCACTCGTTCTTCCCTCCCCCCGAAGAGCAGCTGCTGCCTACGACAGGGGCAGCCAATGACTCAATAAAAGCCATTGCCTCCATTGCAGAGAAGTACTTCGGGCCTGGCTTCATGGGAATGCAGGAGAAGAAGATGGGTTCCCTCCCATACCATTCTATGTTCCCATTTCAGTTCCTCCCCAATTTTCCCCATTCACTCTATCCTTTCACGGAGCGGACCCTCAATCACAACTTGCTGGTCAAGGCTGAACCAAAGTCACCCAGGGACCTTCACAAAGTGGGCAGCAGCAGCTCAGAATCGCCCTTTGATCTCACCACAAAACCAAAAGAGATTAAGCCAATCTTGCCGCCACCCAAGGTCCTGCCAGCCCCATCTTCTGGGGAGGAACAGCCACTGGATCTGAGCATCGGCAACCGCATCCGTGCCAGCCAGAATGGAGGGAGGGAGCCCCGGAAAAACCACATATATGGGGAAAGGAAGCTAATGGGTAGTGAAGTGCTACCCAAGATTTCTCAGTCTCAGCTCCCTCAGCAGCCATCCCTGCATTATGCTAAGCCATCGCCCTTTTTCATGGACCCCATATACAGGTATTAACATACCCTGCCTTAATTATTTCCTCCTGCACGCTAACCTTAAGGAAGGCATTAGCCATTAGGTGTTGAAGGCAAATTTGGAAGTGGACTTAGGGAGCAAGACCAGAATAGAAACACAGTATCCTTGATTGTACTTGGCCTCCTTGGTAAAAGCACTTCAAGGCCCTTGAGTGGAAAGGATTTTATTGGCATAATAGAAAAGCAATAGCACCACCCCCTGGGCTTGCATCCATGCCCTCAGTTCACTCTTTTCATTTTTCTTTCTTTTCTTTTTTTCTTTTTATTTATTCTGCTTATAGAAATAGGGGCAACCAGAAGGGAAGGGATGCAAGAGAGGACAAAATGGGTGGCTGTCCCAGGCTGGCATTTGCTCACTGACAGCCAAACCCCCCCAAAGGCCACAGTCCCATAGCAGAGTGTCCCTCACGGTAGGACGTTTCCTGATGGGGCAGCCTTGCCACAGTAAACCCACCTATAGGGGAGGGTCTGCCTCATAGATTTTGCCTCATCTCTATACAATTTCCCTGATCTATACTCATCCTTTCACAGTGCTTGAAGAACCAGGCATCTCTAGTACTAAACAACTGTTTAAGCACTGCATTAGTCTTATTCTTTCACCTGTGAATCTTGAAAAGATGCCCTCCTTGCCAGATTCCAAGTGTTTCTGAGTTTCAGCCTAAGTGGAAATATCTGGAGGAAAGCCTTGTTTATGGTATTTCATTGGCAGCCTTGCAGCAAGATAAAAACATAGCTAGACTATGGCCTGAGACTCCTGAAGTGTGGATTCCTATTCATGATGAAACCTGGGATCTTTATTAATGCAGAGACTTTAAACATCTTTTTCTAAAAGTAAGGGCACTGACAGAAGTGACATTTGTCATATGATTGGCTCCTTGAAAACGCTCTACAGCCATGCCCTGACAGAAGTGCACGGCTGCAGAATACTTAAAAAGTGCCTAATCATGTGACGAATTAACCCTCGTTACATGCACTGAGGTGGGGGGGGCTCCAATCTCCCCATCTCCCCTCCAGCACAAGCTGGGCAAACCACATGAAGAGCTCCAACTCCTCCCTTCTCCTCCCATCATGCAGACAGCGCCAGAGCTGGGGATGGATCGAGGAGCAGAGCTAAGGGAGAAAAACTGCAGACATACAGTGTCTCCTGGATTGGCTCCGAAATGGAGCTCAATTCTCCCTCCCTTCCTCCGGAGCCAACAGGGAATGTCTGTTGGGTTGGGGGGGGTCACTGTAACTCATAGTATTTTTTGTGAAGCGCCATGAGTTATGGTGGAGAGCTGCACATCAGCTCCCTAAAAGCATTTGACAAAATATAGGTCTCAATCAGGTTCCATATTTCCCCGCCTGCTCCCTGTTATTTTCCTGCTGTTAAAGTAGTAGATACCACAGTAACCACAGTTCTTGTTGACTGACAAAACTGTTCCTTTTTAAAGGCATCCACTGTAAGTCAGGGTCCAGGCATCAATTGGACATGTACACAATCAGAATGAGACTTGGGGCCCCCTCAGTTCCTGCTGAATTTCACCTCCTGGCTTTTAGCTTCTAGTTTTCAAAGTGTGGTCCACAGGGTTGACAGCCTGCTCTTGCCTTGTTTCTTGCCTGATGGGAAGAACCCAGGGCAGGACTGTTTTTCTGAACTTGGAGAAGAGACAATGAGGTACATTGGGTCTAGTTCTAGTTCAGACTCTCAGCAGGCTGTTGCCTACACTGCCAGAGGCAATGTTTATAGTCATCTTGACCATGGGAAACTCAGAGCTTAGCAGCTTTATGGGCACATAGGCAGTTCATGTGAGCATGCAGAGGGACAAACAGCAAAGGCAGCCTGCAATCCTTAGTAAAAACACAGATGAGGAAAACAGCATCTGCCATGCCTCTGATTCACTACTATTGTAGGGGTGAAAAGAGTGTCAGTGTCTAGGAAGGCCAAGGAGCTGACAGCTAAGTTGAGGATTAATTGACCCCTCATTGCTTTGCTATTAAGAAAGCCCCAATCTCTTGGCCATCACTGATACGGTGTTTCATAGTTTCATAGTTTCTAGGGTCGGAAGGGACCTGAGAAGATCATCTAGTCCGACCCCCTGCCATGGCAGGAAAGAGTACTGGGGTCAAACGACCCCAGCAAGGTGTTCATCTAACCTCCTCTTAAAAA